AAAGCTTTGTTTATCATTTACTCAAAATGGTAAATTAATCTCAGAAGGTCATTTTCCTAGCTCACACCCCATATATAGAAATTATATATAAAATTCAGTTTTTTTACGATCATGCAAAAAACTTTTTTTATTAATAAATTGCCAAAATTTTTTTATCAAAATGAAAGCATTGTATTTACATTTAAATTTAAAAATTTTTAGACTAATATTTAGTGTGCTTACCCTTAGCTTTAATTACTACTTTAACCCAGTTAGGTAAACTTAAAATTAAATGATGTAATGTTTCTAAGCTAATTTTTTTCTACTCTTTTTTCACAGCATCAATTAACTAATTAACTCTTGTTTTGATTTAAGTAAAGGCTTTCTTTTTCAGACTTGATAGTTTAAATAGTTTCACAAATTCTCAATCAGATTTAAATCTGAACTTTGTATCATCCAGTCTAAAATTGGAATATTATGTATTAACATTTACCAAACACTATATGAAGATGTATGACAGGATGCTTCATTTTGTTAAATATAGAACTGGAATAATTACTAACACAAGGGATGAAAGAGTTAGAAAGAATATAATCATTAAAATTCATACTTCTTTCTACTACAACCAAAGGTCCAACTCTATGCCAACCAAAACAACCCAAAATATTACTGATCCTCTACCAATTTAATTATAAGTTGAATACAATCTTGATTATAAGCTTCTTTGGGACTCCTCCAAACCCTTACATGACCATCTGACTCAAAAGAGCAAACTTAAACTTATCTAATCATATCACTTGCTTCTATTCCTTTTCCCAATTACATTTTTCTTTGCACTATTTAAATCTTTTTTTTTCAATGTTCTGCAATTAAACAAGGTTTTTTAAAAGTAGCATAACTATTCAAACCTTCATTATAAATGTATTTTAACGGTATTATAATAAAGTGTGGTATTAAGTCTAGAATTTAAATTATCCATTATATTACTAAGAGGAGCAAACTGATTATTATGAATAATGCATTATAAAACCTGATTATCACGTTTAGTAAGCATCTTTGGATGGTCAGAACATTCCTTAGGTTCTGCAGAACCAGTTTCTTTGTATCTTTTAATTGTATCATATACTGTACTGTGAGGAATATTTAGTCGATCAGAAATAATCATTTGTTTGATACCACTAAGATATGCATCAATAATACTTCACGTTATATATTTGACAACTCATTTTCTCACATTTTGACAATAAAAAAGAGACAAAAAAATTTTTTTTTTGCGATTGTATTTTTATATATACAATAGGACAAAAATGCCAATTGTGAAACTAATATATGAAATCACATGACTAAAATCTGGTAATTTAGTATAGAGCAGTATATATGTCAAATATATCAAATATGTCATATATATCTAATCTATCTAATATATCCTATTTGTTATAAAAAATATAGTTTAATATATATTTTATCAACTTTATTAACAAAGATTTTAAGTTTTTAAAAAGGTTTTTAAAGTAATTTAATTTTAAAATTAAGTTTTAAAAAATTTCTTATAATTTTTTAAAAATTCTTTAAAGTTATATGTTTGTGTACTAATTGAATTACTTTATCATTATAACTTTTTTTAATAAATTATAAAAATTATAATAATAAAAGTTTTTCTTTATAAGTAAATTTATAATATTCTATTATAATTATTATCATGCTCACCCATATGATGTAAACAATCTTATTTTTTGATATTTTTATTAATATTAAAAATAAACTACAAATTAAGTTTTTTATATTGAAATAAGTTACATTAATATATTTTAAGCTAATAAATAAAAATATACATATTATTATTTTATATTACTGATTTTATTGATTTTGAGTATTATTTAATTTTTGAAATGGATAACAAAATAGATCTTTGTATTGTTATACGAGTCGATTATGAAGTTCACTGACTGAAAAATAGACTTCAACACGTATAGCAAGGTTTTAGGTATCTGAAGAATAATAACTTAATTTAATAACTT